CTCTTGTTCACTTTCTCAAAAACAAATAGGTACTCTTGTTCACAGTTTATTTTTTTAATTTTTTTAGGATATTCTTCACAGTTTATGGCAAGCTGCACTTTTAACACGAGAATTAGTCTGAAAAACTAATAGAATTTAATGAATATTTGTTCAAGGCTGAGAAATTTAACACGAGAGAGCCCTGCATTTTTGTTAACACACGAGAGAATTACTCCCCTGTAAAAACTCAATAAGATCACACACTTTGCGCGCCAAGCAGACACCAAGGCTGCACAAGAGATTAACTCTGTAAATCGAACTATGTATATGTTAGCTCAACTTATGAACAGAGAAGGTGGTAACAGAAATGCAGGTGTCAAGTGCGTGTGAAGTAAAAATATTTGGAGAAACGGTTTTGCTAATTATCAGGCACCTAATTTTTTTGGCTGCGTCAGTTACCTCTTCCTTCCTTCTTCCTTGTACGTCGCCGGAGAAGAAGCAACCTTGCTGGAGAAGAACCAGCCCCACCATCTATCTTAGGAGAAGCCCCAACCCCAGTATCTATCTTAGTCGTCGAGGAGTGTAGGGGATCGCCGAAGCTGTTCATGGGTGATGCAGGGGCTAGAGGGATAGTCGGGGCGGTGGCTAGCAACAACGGTGGGGGGAGGTTGAGGGGAGGGTGGGGCGGTGAGACGGTGCGTGGCAGTGCCCGCCGGCCGCGAGGGGTGGAGGCAGGCGGATGGGGTGGGGTAGGCTGGCGGCTGCAGAAAAGAGCCGGATCAGATCGTGGGGGGAAGAAGGTTGGGAGGTGAAAGACGACGTGTGAGCCGTTTGATGAAGATCCGATGGACAGGAAAGAAGTGACTGACCCTCGATGTATTTTTAGGTACCTGACTTTCAGTCGGTCCTTGGAGAAAATATATATGTGCAGTAGTCTTTTTTAAAAAGACAAGGAAAAGATCATTCCCTATGCATGCATGCATGCATGCGATTGAGCTGGCCATCCCAGATCTGGCAGTAGCCGACAGCAGCTGTGGCCTGTGGTCTGTGGATGCAGGAGACAATCAATCACAAGCTGCTGATGGCAAACAAAGCTGAGTGCAAAGACAAGAAAAGAAAATGAAATGAGTTGATGGTGAGGAGACAATGCCCTGCAGCAGCAAACCAAGTGCATGCAACATACTACTAGTACTATTTACCTTTGGGAATTTCATTTCTTGGTCATTTCTTGCTCTGAAACTGTGAAACATGAGGCCACCGCCCAGAGTTTTTCGACCCAAAAGTTGGCCTGGCACCTGTAACCTGCTGAGAGCTTTTCACCAGCATTTTGGAGTCTGAACATCGGCAGCACTAGTTGCCAGCAGTCACACGCTTTAGAGTGACAAAGCAGGCAGTGTGCGTAGGTGTTTTTTTTTTCTTTCTACGAGAACAGCAGGAGCTCTGCCTTTGCATTATAGTGAGGGGAAAAGGTACAAAGTACAAGGGCGAGCTGCTAAACACCTCGAGCAGAAGAATAACCACCAGCTAATACACTTGCACACCGCTAAGAACAGTACAAAAACTCCTGAAAGGCTTACACTACCCCCAGGCCATCGGAGCACACACTCGCTTCCAAATGACAATCCTTTTCCCTCCTACTGAGTCGAGCCAGTGTAGGTGAGGCATACACTATACGTGCAATAATAGTTTGAGTGTGCTAGAGCTAACTGCAAAAGGACCGAGACTTAACATATATAGTACTCCCTCGGTCCAACAATATAAGACCTTTTTTTGTAACCTGTGTTAGCTTTCAAACGTGTCTTATATTACATGGGACGGAGGGAGTATATAAGGAGAAAAAGGAAAAATTAAAAAAAAAAATTGCACAGATCTTCATGCGAGATCAAATCAATATAGTATCAATCGATACATAAGAGCAACTCCAACGCAAGGACCCAAACGAACACCGATTTTGTTCGTTTCGTGTCCGTTTGGCTCACCTGTCTGCCTAGCGGACATGGGGCGGACAAACCTTGTATCCAACGGGCGGCACAAAAACAGACCCAAACTCCCCGCGCCTCCCGCCCCCTCCTCTCTCCCTCGCGCCGCCCGTCCCCTTCTCGTCGCGGCGCCTGTCCTATCTCCCTAACGCCGCCCCTTCTCTCTCCCTCGCGCCGCCCCTCCTCTCCTCCTCGTGGATCCCCTCCCACGCGAGATTTTTCTCTGCTCGCGCCTCTGCTGCAGGGGCGTGGAGGAGCAGCCGAGCGCGCAGTGGCGACCTGCTCCGGTGGCCTCGCGGCGGCGTGGAGGAGCGGCCGAGCGCGCGTCGGCGACCTACGCCGATGGCCTCGCTGCGGCGCGGAGGAGCGGCCGAGCGCGTGTCGGCGACTTGCGCCGGTGGCCTCGCTGCGGGCGTTGCAGTCGCTGACATATGGGACCAGGGACGGACACAAGCAGGCGACAGCGGTGGACGAGAGCGTTCGCTTCCGTCCGCTTCGTACTCATTTGTTCCCAGATTTGGGTCAGGTTTGGATCGGGGACGGACAGCAGGCGGATACGGACATCCGTTTGGGTCGCCCCGTTGGCCATTTCTGTCCGGATGACCCAAACAGATAAAATGGGTCCTTCCTTTGGAGTTGCTCTAACCGAACTGAAAAGACAGTCCACAGGCAAACAGCGCGCCAAAACTTTTTCAAAAGATAAAATGCACATGTGCGCTGTGGCACCTCGTTTCCTTGGCTGACTGTTTCGGGCAGCTCAGCTGCCACTGCACTGCACAACAGAAAGGAAAGGAGGGACATGCAGTGCAGCGACCCATTACTGCCAGTACAGATTTGAGTACACGATGCTGATTTTCTCATTTTCTGACAATTAGACAGGCGGCAGTCCCCTCCTCCTCATGAATGAACGAGTGAGTGAGTGATTGAGTCTGAACATGCATGACAATTAATAGGAACGACATGGTTTTGATTTTGAATCTCTGCCCTGCCCTCCTAAGGTTGCATTGCATTGCCTGCTACTCTCTGCAAAGCTTGCAAGAAGCGTACCTGCATGAATGCATCAATCACAGGCTGCCGAGAAGAGCAGCAACAGCTGTTGCGGCCTGTGGCAATGTCCGGAGGAAAGATGCATGCATGCGTGAGCTGATGACGATGACGGGGAGAACATGCACTGCAGCAGCAAGTCGTTCTAACTCATTTTACCTCTGAGACATCCATTTGGTCATTTTGACTCATTTCTTGCCCTCGAACATGAGAAAGACCGCCGCACCGAGTTTCCACAAGAATTGGCTTGATCAATGCACAATTATATTGTGAGTGTCCAAGAGCTAGCAATTGAGAAGAAATGAGTAATAGTGAATTTTTGAAAACTACAAACAGAGTGCCAACACATTTCCAAAAGATAGAATGCAGATGTCTGAGAGCATCAACAACCGGGCTCCCACTCATCCAACAGAGAGGCGTCGACAACAGGAAGGCACCCGGTGGCGCCAGTGGAACAGAGGGACTTTTTACTGCTAAAAACCTCTGTTACTCACTGTGAAACATGCATGCATGATTAAAACATGGCTTGAAGCTGATTCTCTGGACGATGCATGCACGTACCACCTTTGATAATCTCAGCGCTGGAAAGGGTGCATGCATGCATGCTTGAGTCTGCATGCAGTGCAGGGCCATGGAGCCCATCCGCTGCAGGCCTTTCGCTGCATGAGTGAGCGAGGGAGTGTGAATAGGCATGACGAATTTGAGTGGAGTGAAGTGATTAGGATTTCGTCCGGCGAACCAGCGAGGGCCGGGTTTGACGTGTCGGAGACGTTCAGAAGTTTTCATATGCGTCTCATATTTAGGTTGGATATGAAAAGTGCACGTCAGACCGGACGTTTGAGGCCATTTGAGTCGCCCGTTTCGATCGAAATTTTGTGACCGGATAGGACGGTTACCGGACCGTCCGCCCTACCGTTTAAGCCGAGTTTGATGTGCTTGGTTGTAGATGTAGTAAGGGCATGTACAATGATGCTATCTTAGGAGTGCCACGTAGGATAAATGATGAAGTGGAGGAGAGAGAACTCATAAGAGAAGACTTGTCTTCTCTTATTTTAAAATAAAACAAGAGATGATCTCTTAGCACAATATGTCTCATCATATTTTTAGGAATTGCTAGTTATTGAATATAAGGCTAAGAGATGACCCATTGTAGACATTTTTCTTTGTCATCTCCAAATTACATGCAAAACTTAAGATAAAACTATCTTATCAACCATTGTACATGCCCTAAGCTACCAACAAAAACTGCATTTTGTTTTAGACAATTAGCTGCAAGAGCCTACAGACAAACGTACTCATCGTACACCAGCTAGCTCCTGTAGCTCTGCAAATTTTCCTTCATTCACCTCACCTTTGTTGGAGGCTTCTGCTTGTCCCTGTCTGGCTGTCTGTGCAGTGCAAGCCCAGGCATCTCCGAGCCTGAACCTGAAGGTCAAAGTAAATAACAAAACACATGCCTGAATCCATGGCGGCCTTGCTCGCTCATCTTCACACATGAATCATTTTAAAAGTGCCACCTTGCCACCCTTTGAGCAAACAACATCGCCATCAGATCAAAAACCTTCCTTTGTTGTTTTATTTACCATCCATCTTCCCGCCATTTCAGCAGATTGCACCACGCGCGCATGACTCCTCCACCTTTCCACCACTCCTCAGCGACCACCTACCAATACCAAGAGAGTGGACCTTCTTTACTGTCCACAACAGGAAGAAAGGAGAGGAGCCCTCTCTCTGTCTCTAGTGTAATTGTAGCAGTGGTGCCCTACCATTGCTTTGCTTTTCAGCAAGGAGAAGGAGAGGAGGAGGAGACATGTCGAGCTTTGCATCAGGATCAGTCGCCGTCCACAGCCCCGCCATGTTGATCGATTGTGCTTCATGAGAGGTAGAGCTCGGCCGCTAGAAGTTCGCCTGACGCTCGCAGTAGCACAGAGTCCCACACCACTCTGCTCTTCGGCTTCTGGTAGTTGCTTGGAAGCTGGTTGACCAGAGCCGCCGTGGATGGCCGGCGGTGTTAGGAGGCTCTCGGAGGTGCTGCGGGAGCAGCAGGAGCCGTTCCTCCTTCAGGGAGAGCCCTGCTGCTCCGTCAACAACAAGGGCGTCAGGGCTTCGTGGGGCCGGGCCGTGAGGAGGGCGCTGCCGCGGTGGCGGTCTGACGGCCTCGCCGTCGGCTGCTTCCCCTGCGCCGCCCGCAAGCGCGAGAGCTTCCGCCCGCTGTCGCGCGCCGGCCACGCGCACTGCGACGACGACGCGAGGCGGCTCAGCCCGGTGTCCGTCCTGGACGTGCTGCGGTGCTCCGACGACGAGGAGGAAGCGTCGTCGTCGCCCACGCTCAGCGACTGTAAGCACTACACTGGTCTGCTTCTGGCTTCACGGTTCCAAGGAGAATTCTCCTCTGTCAGCACAGTCATGCCCACAAATAATTCACCTTCGTTTCATGCTCTGCTTCTTGATAAATGATAAATACAGGGGAGGAGGAGGAGGACGACAAGCCATCGTCGACGGCAGGCAGCTCGCCGCCACCCGACAAGAAGGAGGAGTCGGAGGAGGAGTGGAGGAAGGTGGTCTCGTCGTGGGAGAGGGTCGCGGGGGACATCGCAAGGGTCCCCGTGCTTGCGCAGCTGGACCTGTTGAGCTCCATGTCGGCGAGGGAGTGGGAGTGGCACGGGGAGGCGGAGGCAGAGCGGGTGGGCGCGAGCGTGGAGGCCATGATCTTCGAGGAGATGAGCGCGGATGCCGTGCGCGACATGGTCGACCTGTAGCGGATCGGAGTGCTCCTTGTCCAAGCGAGACTCTGCAGCTGGCTGAGTGACGGACGATGCTTCGGTGCCTTAAGCCACCTATCTTTGATCTTTGTGTCTATGACATGTGGGTCCAATAGGTGGCTGGCTCATATATCAATGATTCAAAGGCAGGTGCCTACCCAAGCTGCGTCCCTGAGTGACGGCACTGGCGAGTGACTTGATCGACGAGATTTCCACCATTTCTGGATTCAATTGGTATAAAGAGTACTCTACGTAGTATAATACTTGTAGTACTAAGTATAGCTAGGAGCAGACTCTGGTTGCAGTTTCAGTTGTAGTAATGAAGGTGGACTGTCTGGAGATGGTTAATCTCTGGAATACTCGCCACAACTCTCGTTCGATTGTGGCTTCTATCTTAGTTGAAATTGGAGAGCTTGTTAGTGATTTTTCTCTTTTTGTAATCCAACATGTATTAAGGTCAGCAAATGTTCCAGCACATCTATGTGCCAAGCGTGCTTGCACATTAAATGTAACGGAAAGCTGGCTCGAAGACAACCCGGGCTTCCTCCTGACCAGCTTATTGGCTGATTGTCGGGAGAATGCCTTCGTTTGAATAAAGCTCTCTACATTGCCCGCAAAAAAAAAAGTTTCAGTTGTAGTACAGGGCAGTGGTACCCGATGCAAAAAATGTATGACTCAAGAAGAAAAGAAAAGAAAAATCCCTCGAGATATTTTACATTTTCTACTAGACATGTTAGATGCTCAAGCAATGTTCAAAATATCATCCGATTCACTGATGTACCGGCCGATTCATCACTTATAGATGGGTGGGTGGCCATTAAGATTATATCTTATCTTTGCTATTTATTATTTGAACCGATTTATCGCTCTGACAAACGATTAATCAGAAATCTAGCGATTAATAGTGCTAGACCCAGATGGTCAAAACCCAAAACAAGGCTTCCCCTTCAGCCTGCACACTTCATCTCCTATTCAATAAGGCATGTGTTGTAGTATTGTCCTGCTTTGTTTATCATTGACTCGTTGTTTGATATGTAATATGTACTTCCTCTGTACCACAATACTTGTGGTACAGAGGGAGTAGTTATGTATTGACATGGTGTTGCACTATTTAAAGGCTTTGAACACAATAATGTTTGCTTCTATTTTTAGCTTTCAGTGCTTGGAACCTAGAATTATTAATATTTGACTGATATAAATGATTAATTGACTGATTTCCGATGAATCTCTTATCCTCAATCAACCGGAACGCTAAAAAAATGATATCCTCACCATTGCTTGCAAGTATGAACTGAAATTGGTTAATGTCCTACACGCACTAGTGCACAACCGGGGCCACTAGCAAATGTACCACAAGACTGATTTCAGAACTCTATATACGCATGACAAAATATCATCAAGCACCACTCAGTACATTGGACACAGTTTAAGAATTACAACTGGATTATTAAATGTGAGAGGGAGAACGACTAATCAACCCACACACGCGCAGGCTGTGTTTATTCAATGTGACGACAGCCACACTACTCTGGCTCCACCAACGAAACAAAAACCCTAATTATGTGAAAACTATGAAAAGAAATGGGAGGTGCGAATAATAAGCATGGCAGAGGTCGTGCCTTCACCGACGTTCAACAAGGGAAATTGTCTTCTCCGGGTCGCCTTCTCTCTCGCGCGCACGCGGTTGGGAACGAAGCACTTCGGTTGGGCCCTAGGGCTTTTACCCGCCTACTAGTCTTTATTTTATTCGGAGGCAAACCCACCTACTAGTTGTATTGTTTTTTTTTGGATCGTTGTTTGTTTGTTGACACCTTAACTCTTACCAGGCCCTTTCCGTACGGGCCATGACACATTAGAGCGGGTTTTCTTTTCAATTTATGGACTTTTTTTCTTTTTTCTTTTGGTATTTTTTTCTCGTTTTTGGTTCCTTATTTTTTGGCTTCCCTGTTCGTTCTTATATTTTTATTTTTATTTTTCCTTTAGATTTTCCTTTTTCCCACTTTCTTTTTGTTTTTAATCTACAAAAATAAATACAACTTATTTGATACATATATATTACCCTATATTTATTTATATTTAGGTTTTTCTCTACCTTATTAAAAGAGTTAAATCAGTACGAAGATTTTTTGAAAAGCACTCAATATTTTTTCCATCAACATGTCAGAAATTTTAGTAATGTTGTTCAATTAAATAATCCCATTTTCTATGAAAATTTTATTTCATTTTATTTATTCCTTGTTTCTTTGCTTTCAATTTTTAACTTATGTTTTTGAGAACCTTTATACTGCATTAAAAAAAGATTGTCACGTATTTCAAATATTTTTATCCCATACTTTCTAAAAATGCAAAACAATTGATCAGGAAAATGTTAACTATGTATTCTAAAATATCTCTGCATTCAAAAAAAATCCGTCATGTATATTGAACATGTGCAACATGTGTTCAGCACATTTAAGAGAATGTGTTATCTATTTCAATAAAAAAATCATTGTGTCTAAAAATGCTCATTATACGATGAAAATTTTATGAAATACTCGATAAACAATATTTTAGTTCTTGTTGGAAAATTTTCAATACACGATGGAATTATTTTAATACAGGATTAACATTTTGTAAAAGATATGTTGGTCATTTTTCATGCACAATGGACATTTTTTAATACACGGTGAATATATTGATAATACTCAATGACCATTTGAAAAACATGATATTTTTATGTAATTATCATATACAATATTTATTTCTAAATTATTTTTAAAATTTTAAATATACATAAATGAAGAAAATAAAATTGTAAAAAGTGCAAAACAATAAAAAAAAACTAGCACAACCATACATGAACTGCATCATCTAGCGACATGAATTTGTAATGGGCCAGCCCACAACACATGAGCGTGAATGAGCACCCTTTTGCTCGCTATGATGATTTGAGGTATAGGGGCCTCGGCAGTCATCTATGAAGGCCGATCTGACCCTACCATCCTTGAGGCTCAGGCTTGTAGTGAGGCTCTCTCACTTACAGCAGATTTACATAGTCAATCCTTTTGTGTTGCATCTGATTGTCTGAAAGTGGTGTCGAATATACAAGTTGAAGCTCCTTGCAACTATCATTCCATCTTGCAAGACATCAAACATCAACGGCGGCAATTCCAGGATGTAGAGTTTATACATGAAAATAGAAAGCACAATGGAGAAGCCCATGCCTTGGCGAAGGCTGCGGCTTCTCTAAGTCCCGGGCGCCACGTGTGGCTTAGCATCTTGCCCGAAATTATCTGTATCCCTATGTTTTTGAACTTCTAATAAAGGATACAGCAGCTCAAAAAAAATGACATCGGAGAGCAACTACTTAACGAGCGCTCTTTCGGGAGCCTCGCAACGATCAGCGCCACTTGGCGTGTTCTCAGCCATTCGCCACGTGTCGCGCTCTGGGCGCTCCCTCCTGATTTTTTTTATTTTTCCGCACGCGTTTTCAGCTTTTTAAACGGGGTTTTCCCGGGTTTTTTTGACGTTCTGGTTTTCCACCAGTTTCCTCAGCTTTTCAATAAAAAAATTGAATTTTTTTGCGCGAAAAAACGCATTTTCTTTCCTTTTTTTTCCTTTGCGAGAGTCATGGTTTTGCTTCCGCGAGAGGCAAGATTTTGCTTTCGCGAGTGTCACGGCCGTGTCTCTCGAAAACGGAAAAAACACGTTTTCTATTTTTTTTTCTTTTCGCAAGAGTCACGGTTCTGCTTCCGCGAGAGTCACGGGTGTGCTTTCGCGAGAGTCATGGTCGTGCCTCTCGGAAACGGAAAAAAACGCGTTTTTGTTTTTTTTCTTTCGCGAGAGTCACGGTTTTGCTTCCGCGAGAGGCATGGTTGTGCTTTCGTGAGAGTCACGGCCATGCCTCTCGGAAAGGGAAAAACGCGTTTTCAATTTTTTTTTTCTTTCACAAGTCACGGTTTTGCTTCCGCAAAAGGCACGGTTGTGCTTCCACGAGAGTCACGGTCGTGCCTCCTCGGAAATGGGAAAAAACGCGTTTCTCTTTTTTTTCCTTCCGCGAGAGTCACGATTTTGCTTCCGCGAGAGGCACGGTTGTGATGTCGTGAGAGGCACGGGCGTGCCTTTTTCGAAATGGGAAAAAACCCGTGGTCCCGGTTCGGTTTTTTCGTCCGGTTTTTTTCATGAAAAAAAGTTCGTCAAAATCTATCAACATGAGATCTAATGTTGAAGATCTTGACGTAAGGAATCCAACGGTAAAAGCGGTTAGAGATTTGGATGCACGGTTTAAGAGATAAAACGTTTTGAAAAACGAATCTAGAAAAAAGGGAAAACTCACAGGTTGCGACAAGTGACAATCTGCATGTGCACCACTTGTCGCAACCAAAGAAATTAAAGTGATCTTTGCAACGAGTACTCCTCAATTAGTGATTTTGATGACGTCGAGCGTGTCAATATGATGATTTTGAGAGTAATACTAAAGGGCCGCCCTGCACAGTCCATCACATGGGCTGGCCCACTATAGCCTCGACCGCACGTAGGTAGTTACATCTAAGTTGGTTAGTGTGCTAAAAAAAAATCTAAGCTAGCTAGTGTGTCGATATCGTCGCCACAAACCGTACATTTGAATTCTTCTTGATATGTTCGTCCATAGGATTAAAAGGACAAAGAGAAAAAGGTTGTGTAATTTAAAAAAAATTATTTATACTTTTTCTAAATGTTCTTTTCTTTACAATATATTCATGTATTAAAAATATTCAAACAGTTTTCAAAAGATTTTTTTCATAATAAAAATATTATTCACATATCAAAAAGAATGTCTGTGTAATTATTACTTTTGTTTTGTACCTTTCTGAACAAATGTTCTTGTAACTTCAAAAGTGCGCATGCGTTTGTGCAATAAAAAGTACTTTCTATCCCAAACAAGTTGGGGTAGGCTATAGTTGAAAACCACATGATCTCAAAAACATAGATATGGCTCTAGCACAGGGATCCCTAACCCCCCCCTCCCCCCCCCCGTC